GGTGTTTGATTTTTAGAAGATCCCAGTTATCTAGCTTATCTGTTGGGTTTTGTGTGTTGATGGTTATGGTTTGTATCCTGTTAATGCCATGTATTAATTTTTTCAGTTTTTTGAAAACTCACGGAAAGCACTCAATGTTTATTGAATTGATACCTAAGGAATAGATGGACGGATGGTGAAACTGGTCACCGTCATTAACATGGTGATACTGGTAATAAGATCTAACATTTATTAAACACTTCGGTTACACAATTTTCAATCCTCACCCATCCCTGTTGTTTTTAGTAGCTGTCAAGTCAGCTCCAACTCATGGTAACCTTACGTATAACAGAATGAAATGTTGCCTGGTCCTGCACCATGTTCACAATCGTTACATTTGAACCCATTGTTGTAGCTCCTATGTCAATCGATTTCATTGAGGGTCAGCACTATTATCTCCATTTTTCAGATGAGAAAACTGAGGCACAGTGAGGTTAAGAGGCTGTCCAGTCGTCTATAACACAGCTTGTCATTGGGCACAGTTGGGATTTGAACCTAGGCTCGCTGGCTCCTGAACTGGTTTGAAGGGAGGCTGTGCGAGTTGGAATTGGTGGCTGTTCCTTTGGGCACTCTCAGGACAGGTGTGAGGCTCTGCTCTGCTCTAATTCTCACCACTAGAGGGCAATGATCCCCCCTGGGGCAATTTCTCTGGCTTCTGCATCTGGAGGGCTCAGCTTTGTGAGGACAGTAAGTAACAATAAAATTTGCAAACTGGAAAAGTGACTTCAGCCCTCCCCAGCAGGAGACCAGAGGCAAGAGACATTTGCTTCCTGTGGCTGACCGTCTCTAGATGTTAGACACTATAGACAGAAACCTGGAGGGTGTCCTACTTAAAAGTCCCTTCATAAAAGGGCCTTTTTAAAAGAACAGTGTGGTGAGAATGTCTGTTACCTCCAGCTTGGCCCGTCCAGGACTCAACTCTTGACCTTGCCCTGAACCTGCCTGCCTCCCCTCCCTGTTAATGGTGGCTGCAGCCTTCCAGCTGCTCAGGCCCCAAACCCTGCAATCATTGACTCCTTTCTCCTGCATCTAGCCCAGCACCACATTCTGCCACCTCTCCCTATCCCTGGTCCAAGCCACGAACAAGCCCTTTAGCGTCCTTGTAGAATGTAAGTCAGATCACGTCCATCTCTGCTCCTGGGGGCCAGGGACATTTTTCCACTCTGATATCCCTGGTGTCTCGAACACTCCCAGCTCACAGTAGGCTCTGAGTTTAAGCGTTTGCTGAATGAATGTTAGCAGGTTTCCTTTTGGGGACTGCTGTTTGGAAAGGGGGCAGCCACACTGGTGCCCCTCACCGTTTCTGTGCCTTTCTGATGGCCCTCTCCCTGAAACTCTCCTTGGATGATGGCCCTTGGGCTCCTGGGGCCACTTCGCCTACAGGGTTTGGGAACCAGAGTGCTTGAGAATTTAAGTCCTCCCTCCCTGGCTCCAGAACAGCCCTTGGCCAGTGACTGAGAAAGCCCAGCTCCCTTGCTTGGCATCAAGCCACCCGCTCTGAGGTGTCACTCACACTCCAGAGTGCCCCAGTGGGACCAGGCTGAGGCTCTGCCTGTAGGACTTTGCCTGAGGTCACACCCTTGCTTGGCTTCTTTCCTTGCCCTGCCCTGCTTCCCCATTCTACACAAGCACATACACAGCAAGCTTTCTGTGTGCCAGGCGCTGGTATAAACAAGAGAAAGAGAGCATGCGATTTAGACCCATTCCCTCAGGCCACACCACCCCCAGACCATCACAGTCATGGATTTGGCAAGTGTCCACCCAGAAGCACCTTGGTAAAAGGCCTGGCTATCTACTTCCAAAAAAAAAAAAAATCAGCCATTGAAGACCCCATGGAGCACAGTTCTACTCTGACACCTATGGGGTCACCATGAGTCAGAACTGACTCGATGGCAACTGGTTAGTCCACATTTTATACTCTTACCCCACGTACACCCACGGACAACATATGGTTTAGTTTTGAGATTTTAAAAATCCACACCAATGCTCTCATATTGCATACCATTCTGCAATGTTTTGTTCACATTTAGGGGGGTCAATGTTGGTATCGTTAGGTTCAGTTTACTCACTTTAATTGCTCAATAGTATGCCACAGAACGAATGTAACACATCTTACCTGTCCATCTCATTCTGACAGGCTGTTTCCGGTTTTCCACAACTGCACCCACTCAGCACCCCGTGGCCCCAGAGCAGACTCTCTTCTCCCGGAAGCCTCCCTCGCCCGCCAGGTGGCCAGTGTTCCGTTTCAGGGCTCTTGCCTCAGTCTGAAATCCTCTGATGAGAACCAGTTGCCCTCAAGTCTACCCCAACTTATGGTGACCCCATGTGTGTCAGAGTAGAACTGTGCTCCATAGAGTTTTCAATGGCTTAATGTTTGGAAGTAAATTTCCGGGCCTTTTTCCAAAGCATCCTGGGTAGACTCGAACCTCCAACCTTTCAGTTAGCAGCCGAGCACGTTCCACCATTTGCACCACCCAGGGACTCCCTTCTGATGAGAGGAATCGTTTAGTGTCTCCTTCCCCACTAGCAGGCACCTGAGTTCACAGCTGTAGCCCAGCACACAGCAGGCACTTAGCCTTTTTTGATTGACAGATGGATACAGGGCAATTGTGGGGGCTGTGCACCAGGCTTTGATCTCTCAGTGCCAGGGAGAAGCCAGGATGGCCTGGGAAAGCCCAGGCACCTGGGGCCCAGTGGCCACCCCTGTGGGCCTCTGGGGAGGAGTGAACTGTGAATGCCCAGATCCAAAGTGGGGTGGGGCCCTTGCTTGGGGACCCATGGAGCTTCCAGACATGCCAGTCCAAGTCAGCTGTGACCAGGACACAAGGTCTGCCGGGAAATGCTGCTGCCGTGCCTCAACTCCCATCCCAATTTATCATCACAGGTTCAGAAAATGACTCCACTGCTAGTCACTTGGCTGTCATTTACGAAGCCCTTCCTCAGGCCATGCACTTTACAAGTGATTTGCATAGTCACCCCATGGGCAGCACTGGCCCTTTCCCAGAAGACTCTGAGGTCAGAGATGCTAAGTTGCCTAAGGTCATACAGCTAGTAAGTGGCAGAGCAGAGTTCAAACCAATTCCCAGGTCCTCTGACTTGAAGAAATGAACAGCCAGTTGCCACACCACACAGCTAGGCCTGAGCTGGATGCAGGGCAGGCCCCAGCTGGTGCCCCGAGCCCTGCTTCCTCCTGTCACAACAGAAGTGGCAGCTAAACCCAGATTCCACCTGTGAACTCAGAATGAGAAATCCTTCCAGGAATGGCAAGCCCCAGGCCCCAGCCTAGTCAGGGGATTAAATATGGCTCAAAACACAGCTCAGCAACAGGATTCCCCAAACTTTAATGCCAGGGTTCCATGAAGGCAGCTGGCGGCTGTGGCAGCATCTCTGGTACCACAGACACCCCTGCCTCCAGCCCGGGGGTCTCCAGGCACCATGTGATCAGGCAGTGAGAAACACTGGGACCTCATTCCCATGCCGCAATGCCCCTGGGCTGAGCTTGGCCCAAAGCTATCAGAGCTTCTGCGGATAAGCCTGACAAGTAGGGGGTAAGGAGTGGGCAGGGGGCATCACTGGCCCATAGGTACCTGATCCTGCCAGGCTCAGGCATGGTTTGGTCTGAGGCCTGCACAGAGCAGCTAAGGGGCAGGCAATGGGGACAGAGATTATGGTTCCCAGCCTGGGGACTGGTGAGGTGATGGAGAGGAGGGAAGGCTTGGAAAATCTGGGGCAGATACGTGCATGGGGTGGGGGTGCACGGGGGCTTCTGGCCTCTCCAGGCAGTTGCTGCAGGCAGCCTCTGAGATGGGGAATGGGAGGACATGTTCCATCTGAGGTCCGAGAAAGGGAGGTCATGGGCATCCCTAGAATGGCCTCTAAGGCACGAGGAAGGCGATACAGCCCCAGTGGGATCAGCCGGGGCAGGCCTGGCTTCAGTACCCGTGGGCCACCTGACCCTTGCTCTCTGGGCCTGCAAAGGAGTTGTTGGGCGCATCTGGTGAGTCAATAGTCTGGTAGGCACTGCGCTCTGGCGAGGGTCCGAGGAAACCTGGGGCAGGGAAAGAAAAAATGAGGGGTGAGAACTCTGGAAATTCTGCTGAGTCCAACCAAGATCCGCACAATCTGAACCAGGAAGGCCGGAGCTGGGCACCCTGGCACCAAGGACAGTGACAGTGGCAGCAGCTCCAGGGCACCAGGCCTTTCAAAGGCATCATTCATTCAATCCTCTTGCAGCCCTACGGAGCTTTTTCCTGTGAAAAGGGCATTGCTGTGCTCCTCAGGGGGTGCCCTGAAACTTGATGGCTTCGCCACAGCAGGAGTTGTGTGTTACGTCTGACACACAGATTTTCACACAGGAGTGCGCGTGGCTGCTAACCGAAAGGACGGAGATACAACTCCACCCAGAGGTGCCTCAGAAGAAAAACCTGGCAATCTACTTCTGAAAAATCAGCCATTGAAAACCCTATGGAGCAGTTCTACTCTGACACACATGGGGTCGCCATGAGTTGGAATCGACTCAATGGCAACTGTTTGGATTTTTTTCCAGGGAGTTAACCTCACTCAAGGTGTAAGAAGAACATACCGGGGAGAAAAGCAAAGCTTTATTGGCCACTTCGCTCTGGGTTAAATTGGTAGAGGAGCCAGAACTCCAAAGCTGGCCCTGGGGCCAGGCCCAGTGCTGAGGGTGACCAGGGTGGGGGTGGGGGTGGGGGAGACAGGACAGACAGACAGACACACCCCTACTCTTGTCCTTGCCCCAGCTGCTCCCCCGGGCAGGTCAGAAGCCACTCTGGACCTCTCTTCTCAGGAGTATAAGGTAGAAGACCACACCCTGCCCCTCCCTACTTCTCTCTCAGGGAGAGAAAGGAAATGAGAACATGGGTCAGAGAGTAGAAAAATGGCTCAGCCACCCTGAGAGGGACACAGGAGACCAGAGGGGCGTGGGAGGGGGCAGGTGGGGGGCTGGGCTGGAGGCAAGAGGGCCAGTCAGCAGGGAAAGGGCCACAGGTTAGTGCTGCCTTAGGGGGAGGCTCGGCACTGTCACCACCACAGGAGAGGGAAGACCCTACCTGGCAGGAGGGGGCTTCCTGGGGAGGGACCAGGTGGGGCTTGAGAGGAGAAGCTGGCACTGCAGATGTTACACACCTCAGAGTGACCCAAATCACACCCTAGAGGAGGACCTGGCAGCTGCCCCCAACCCCACCTGCAGCCTGATGCCAGGGACAGTGTGCAGCAGGCTGGGACAGCCAGGGTCACCTGGGCTCTCCAGCAGGACCAGGGGTCCCCACACTTTCTAGCGTTGTTGCCCATGCCACACTCCCCCCTTTAGCCCTAGTCCCATGGGGCAAGGTCGGCTCATTGGCTGGAGCGGTGGGTCAGCCGGGTGGATACAGAGGGAGGCTTGGAAAGGGCACCTCGCCAAGAGAGGGAATGTAGAGAGCTGGCGAGGGGAGGGCGGGCTCACCGACATGAAGCTGGAGCTCGCCCCCGCGCTCCCGGTACATGTGGTAGGCAAAGCAGCAGGAGAACGGCTTGAGGATCAGGCTGAGGATGGCCATGCCGGCCCCAAAGCGGCCTGTGTCCGTGAGGTACTCCCGCGGGTAGAAGACACTAATGTGGATGATGTCCAGGAAGATGGTGGCCACCAAGCCACCAAGAAACTGTAAGACATGTAGAGAGCAGAGCTCAGGGAGTGTACACATGACATTATAAGTCTGTAAGCACATGGATACCCTGTAACACCTCTGTCCTCTCCCAGGTTGGGAGCTCGTGAGGGCGAGAAACAGCCTGGGTGGTTCCCTACTGTATTCTGAGGGATCAAGCAGGCAGGCAGGTAGGACTTTGTGCGTGAGATGCCAGATGGAGAGTGCGGGGCTGGGAGGCAGGGACACTGGGCCTGGGCCCCACCTGCCAGCTCCACTACAGAGCCTCCCAACCCTCCTCCATCTCCTGAGGCCAGGAACAGGCACAAGACTTGGTTCTAGAACCTCTGAATTAGAAGGTCCCTTGGAGTTCATCCAACTCAAGTCTCCACTCACAAAGGAAATCCCTTCTCAATCATCCTGAGAGGGGGACCTCTGCTTTGACTTGAATAGCCCCCATGCCAGAGAGCTCACTGCTTCTCAGGACTTCCTGGGTGTTGGGAAGCTGTCCCCTTGTAGCGGATTTTAGTTGGGCTGTGCTAACTTGTGACTTCACAGAGTGGTAGTGCTCTCTTAGCCATGTCTCCCAGCTGCATCCCTCCTCTGAAAAACAGCCCTGGTCACTCCAGCCCAGGGGCAATGACTAGAAGGCAGGAGGGGACAGGAAAGCTGGTAATAGGGAACGCAAGGTCGAGAAGGGCGAGTGTTGACATGTCCTGGAGTTGGTAGCCAATGTCATAAAACAATATGTGTACTAACTGTTTAATGAGAAGCTAGTTTGTTCTGTAAACCTTCATCTAAAGTACGATTTAAAAAAAAAAAAAAAAAAGAGCCCTGGAGTCAGGTGATTGCAGGAGGTTCCAATGCCTGCAGAGAGTGGACTGTCTAGGGGCACTCGTGGGGCCCCACCTCATGTGCTTCTTGGGGAAGATGATCAGCAGACCCTGGGCTCTCTGAACCAGGCAGGCAGAGAAGCAGGCCAGGGTAGTGAGGACACACATGCGCGGGTAGCCTGGTGGGCTTATTTACAAGGCTTTAGAAAATGGAGGGGCGGGGGCACAAGGAAGAGAGAGATTGGGATGGGCGAGGGGAAGACAGAGCAGGGGCACAGCTCACGCTGCTGCCCCCATGCCCTGCTGTCCCCCGAGCTCACCATGCTCATGGCGTCGATGGAGTCCCTCTGAGCAACAGCCCACACGCCCAAGGCCAAGATGGTGAAGTTGGCCCAGGCATAAGGGCCCGAGAATACAATGGAACCCCTGCAGAAAGAGGCACCCCTAGTTCAGTCAGGCGGCCACTGCCCCCTGGGTGCCCACCTCCACCCCCAGCTCACCTCCCTCATGCTCCCAGGTTCCAAGGCCTCCCCTGAGAACGGGCCACAGTCTCCGAGGCCACAGAGTGCTTGCTCTTCTCTACCCGGCTATGCCTCTGAAATGCCAGTGCATCGCATTGGCTCTACCTCCCAAACAGATCCAGCATCTGGCTACTTCCCTCCAGGTCCCAGCCACCATCCTCTCCAGCCTCTCTGCTGGTCTCCCTACTTCCACTCCTGCCCCCTACAGGCTATTCTGTAAATAGCAACCAATAATATAAGTCATAGAGTCCCTGGGTGGAGCAAACGGTTAATGCACTTGGCTGCTAAGGGAAAGGTTGGTGGTTTGAATCTACCCAGAGGCTCCTAGGAAGAAAGGACTGGCAATCTACTTCTGAAAAATCAGCCACTGAAAAACCAATGGAAGACAGTTCTACTCTGACACCCATGGGCTGGCCAGGAGTCGGAGAGTTGGAGACTTCTAGATGGGAACTGTTTTTTTTGGGTTTTTTTTAAAATTTAAGTCAGGTGATGGCATTTCTCTGCTAAAAATCCCCCTACTAGGAATAAAATACAGAGTCCTCACCATTGCCCACAAGGCCCTGTGGGGCCCAGCCCCCAACACTGCCCCATCTCACCTTCCAACCCTCTGCAGACCTACAGGTCCCTATGCCTGCCTTCTCTCTGTTCCTTGAATATGCCAAGTTCCCTCTGACCGCCCAGCCACTGTCCATGCTGCTCCCTTTGTCCTGAACACTCGGCCCCCTTTTGTCATTTTAGTCTCAGCTCAAATCTTAATTCCAAGACCCCTTCCCTGACCTCCCAATTTTAAGTGCCACCTAGTCACTTTCTAACACAATGCTCACCCTATTCTATTTTTCAGGGTATTGCTACTAACTGCTGTTGTTTACTTACTTATTTGCTTGTCAACTCAATGAAAATAAAAGTTAACACTTCCTAATATCTGGATGGAGCCCTGGTGGTGCAGTGGTTAAGGGCTCGGCTGCTAACCAAAAGGTCAGCAGTTCAAATCCACCAGCCACTCCTTGGAAACCCTATAGGGCAGTTCTACTCCATCCTATAGGGTCACTGTGAGTCAGAACTGATGCCACGGCAACAGGTTTTGGTTTCTGGTAATATCTGGCATACTTCTAAGAAATTTACATTAACTAATTTATGTGCATTTGTGTTAATCTTAGGAGGAATGAAGTATCAGTATCCTCATTTTACAGATGAGGAAATGGAAGCACAGAGAGGTTGAGTAACTTGCCAAGGACACACAGCTGCGAAGTGGTGGAGCTGGGATTTGAACCCAGGCAGGCAGTCGGGCTCAAGAGCCCATCCTCTTACTCTCTACTGCACACAATGTCCTTGTCTACCTTATTTACCACTATATATCCTGGGCCTAAACTGCCGCAGCACGCAGGGTGTGCTCAGTAAATTTCAGTGACACTCACAGAAGTGTAACATACAGAAAACAAGTAGGAAGCAGCACGTGTGGAGTGCAACCAGGCTCTATGAGTCTCTGAATAAATAACCTCATCCCTTGGTCTTAAGAAAGCAGCTGCCCGGGCCTCAGTCCAGACTCCCCAGTTCAGAATCCCAGGGAGTACAACTGAGAAATCTGTATCTTTACCTTGCTCCCCACAGTCATTAACCATGATTAGCACTGTTCACATTATTCACAACCATTTACATGTGCACCGCACTTAAAACTTTCCAAAGTGCACACAGGAGCTCAATGGTTTCCAATTTTTGTTTGGAAGAGAAGTCCTCTCCATAGAAGAAACTTCCCGGAAGCCCAACAAAGAAAACAGATAGTAATCATGGAAATCTATCCTCAGTCCTGAATCTCCCTCTGTGCCAGGCCCTGGGGGTGTTGGACAAGCACCATATACTTCTCTTCAGGGCTCCAACAGGGTGTGCATCCTTAGCCCCATTTACAGATGGAAACCAAGTCCTAAGAGGTAGAGCTGCCTGTCCAAAGTGACCTGGCTGGAACATGGCAGAGCCAGGACCTGACTGGACCCCTCTGAATCCCAAGTCTACCTTCTCTGAGCAGGAAGTGTGGTGTGGAAGAGTGAGGGTCCACCCCTAAGCAAACGACCCACCCCCATGAGTCTCAGGTTCATTGTCTGTCAAGGTGCTGAGCAAATTCACAGAGGCGCCCGGCCCAGCGGCTGGCACCTGGACTCCCCAATAAATGTAAGCAGTTATTGTTGTTTCTAAAGTAGTGCTTTCACCTTCCAGTGACCTTACAAGAAAAGCAGGAGAGTAATATTCCCATTTTACAGATGAGAAAACAGGCTCAAGAGAGTTTATGGTCAGAGCCTGACCCAGGTTTACAGACGCACAGAGCTCTGCATAGATGCCCACCTGCGGCTGCCTCGGGGAGCCCATGTGGTATTTCAGTCCCGTCCCCGGCTTTAGCACTGCAGACCTCCCCAATGCAGAGGCCTTGGGGAGAAGCCAGTCACCCAAACTCCCAGGAGGCTTGGGTGGTGTCGGGAGGGTATATGAGCTGTCAGCCCTGCTGGGCCTGCACCTCTCCTAGGATGAGAGTTCGAAGCCCCTAGGAGGCAGTGGTGACACAGGCCTCTGGGAACTGCCTGCTCCTCTGACAATCTTGGGGTGGTAGGGAGCTTGCCAGTGATAAAGTTTTTATTTAGTCTTGGGACTAGCAGGAGACACAGACATGGACACAGACCCGACACCCATGGAGTGACTCACCAAGTTGTCAGCATCCAGTGAACCAGGAGGATTGCCTGTGACACAAAATGGGGGCGGGGCGGTTAGAACAGGTCTGTGAGTCTGACTGCAACGGGGTGTGGGGATGGGATGGCTTTTCGAGCCAGAAGACACAGTAGATGCCTCAGAAGGTGTTATGGATTGGACTGTGTCCCCCTGAAAGTTATGTGACAGCCCTAACCCTGTACCTGTAAATATGACCTGCTTGGAAACAGGGTGGCGCAGTGGTTAAGAGCTACAGCTGCTAACCAAAAGGTCAGCAGTTCGAATCCACCAGCCGCTCCTTGGAAACCCTATGGGGCAGTTCTACTCTGTCCTA